ATGTGATGAAGCTTAACCAACTCGCTCATCGTAATCAGCGAAATCTACTGGGACCAGTCCGCTTCCAGAGTATCCTTTTAGATCAAATGTTGACCTGTGTTATCATTCGCCTTGGTTGGTAACCACCGGCGCCATATTGCGTAGCACGCGCTCCAATAGCCACAGCCGGCAGTCTCTCTGCCACGTCCGAGCGTGTGCATTTCGACACGTGATGTATTTATTTCATTAAATGATTTATCATACAAAATTCGTTATATTGCATCGTCGTGTTATATTGCCTCCTGTCGCCTTTTTTCTCGCCTTTACGTATCCAACAACTGGCGGTGTCTTCAAGTGAAAATGTGATCTCAACTGAGGATAATGGACTCGACGAAACAGATCGAGGTTCTAACGATCGCCATTAACAGCCTTCTCCAACTTCAGCTTACTCAACAATGAAGCGAACAAGAAGTGGCATCGTCAGATAACACATCGTCTCTCTCTTTGAGACCTATAATCATCTAAGTGCTCGTGTAGAAAAATATCATTATGATTCTGGTGACGATGTAAAATCTTTCACAAAATGATTGCTACGTTATAAATACATTATCGTCATGGAAGCAGTATGCCTGCCACCTCAAATACAAACACGTTTGATGCTAGACAAACTTGGTCAAACGGAATTTGACAAGCTAGTAGATCATGTCGCGCTTATAGATCCAACGCGCATACCTCAGGACGAACTCATTAAAACATTGAAAGAACTTTTCCGAGATAAAGTTCCCATTACTCGCCGTCGTATAGAAATTTTAAATTACCGTTACGACAAGCCGATTCTGATCACGGACATTTTGACCGCATCAATTGTCATGTGGATTTTGATCGATCTAAGATGACGGACGATAGTCTTTATATCCTTCTCTTGTTGCAATCATTCTGCTACTCCAAAGATAACGACGAGTTAAAAAGAGTCGCTCTCCGCGTGATAGAGAAGAATCAAGACGCTTCATTCAAGGACATCACAGAGCTCGAAGTACACATGAACGTCCGGCTTAAAAACGCTGGAAAGTTTTCAACAAAACATCCTCAATCCTCAGTGCAAATTTGCGACAAACTATCTGTGAACACCACGCACAAAATGTTTGTGCATCATTAACATCTGACAGTGTATCCGCTACGAATTTGTCAAGTGAACAAACCGCACACCTCCTAAGTGCGGTCAATCGCGAAGTTACGCACGACGCGTATCTCGAAAACATCCTCCATCGTTTTCCGAATCTATTCGAAGAATTAGGCCGCAATTTCAAAGCAAAATTCGACTTTGCAAGTGACGCTCATCCTGTGCAAACGCCTTGCCACCAGATTCTATTCACCGGAAAGTCTCCTCGACGAGGAACTGTTGCGTCTCGTCTTGAATGGTATCATCGAGCGAGTAGAAATCTCAAACTATTCAGCGCCCATAGTTATCGCGGAAAAAAAGAACGGCAAACTTCGCCTGTGCGTTGATTCTTCAACGGGAGTTAATAACGTGATTATGAACAACAAGCACCGCTGTTCTCAGTAGAAAACATTATGTCAAAATTGAATAGTAGTAGTTGCTTTTTCAGTGTACTGGACCTCAGTGCGCGTTTTTCCAACTGAAGATTAACGAGGATCATCATGACATTATAACAAAAACAAAAGGCTTTTCAGATTTAAGCGCTTATCTTTCAAAAAAAATTAAAACAGCTCCAGCTATCTTCCAGCAGGCTATGGATCTCACACTCCGATCTCCCTGGAGTATATGCATATCTGGACGACATCGTAATTCTAGGTTCCTCCCAACAAGAACACGATATCCGTTTGCACGACACTCTGCAACGCTTGCAAGATCGAGATTGGAAACTCAGAGCTGAGAAATGCCACTTCGCATTGAAAGCAATCAAATATTTAGGATGGTTCATAAATTCCCATGGCATTTCAGTCGATCCAGAGGCCATCAGTGCCATAGTAAACATGCCGAAACCTACTTCATTTCAAAAGAGTTTCCTTGATATGGTGAATCATTATGGAAAATTTATTCCTCACCTACACCAGTTAAAGCATTCTTTGGAAGAACTTATTCGTAAAAATCGCCTTTGAGTTTGGAGCCAACCACATGACTCAGCATTGGAACAAATAAAGAAGGTTATGCTGAGCCCTCTTCTAAAACATTACGATTCATAAATTCTAGTGACAGCAGCCGTTTGTGCTACTAGAATCGGTGCCGTTCTCCTGCAACGTGACTCCAACAATCACGAACGTGCAGTTTTCCATATGGCTCAGAGTCTCACTAGCGCTCAACGCAACTATTCCTAGTTGAAGAAAGAGGCACTCGCACTCATCACAGCTGTCGAGCGATTCCATAAGTTTGTCTAGGGAAGAAGATTTGTACTACAAACGGACCACAAATCTCTCGTGACGCTACTACAAACGACACTAAGGGACTCAAACTAACAACTGCAGCCCGCCTTAAACAGTGCAATACGATTACTAGATTATGATTTTAAAATCGAATATATACGTACTCAGGATTTTGGCCAAGCAGACGCACTCTCTCGTTTAATTAATAATTTCCATCGCGATAATGCCGAAGAACTTCAAGTAGTTTGCATCCATGATGTCGAAACAGAGCTCCTTCAGATCAAAAATTTGTCAATCGACTTCTTCGGTAAAGAACTTTGATACAAACTGAAGCTAGCAATCAAGGAGTCCCCCATCCCTCATTCTACGTTCTGTTTTTCAGGCCATCAAACAAGGCCTAAATATTGAAAGACCTAAATATCATCGACGATATGCTATTTCTAGGCGACAGAGTCGTCATCCCTGACGAACTCAGACCGGCGATCTTAGCCATCCTCACAAAGGTCACCCTGGAATACGTAGAACTAAACAACTCGCTATGTGTATTGGCCAAAAATGACAGAAGACATCGAACGTCCCATTTACCCTTGCGCCGTGAATCAGAAACTTCCAGTAAAGGTGTATCGCTGAATCCGTAGCCCACTCCTACACGCCCTATGGAATGCGTACACCTAGACTACGCTGGTCCAGTCGACGGCCAATATCTGCTTATTTTCATGGATGCATTTTCCAAATTCATTGATATCACTATCATTGATACTACTACGTAGGCTGCTGGAAAAGTTTCTGCAAACAATATAAAAAAAACATGTAAAATTCGGTAAATGACTTTATTGTTTTTCGAAATATTCGTCTTTAAGATCGACATTTTTGCATACGCTCGAACCAATTTTCGAAGCATTTTTTCCACTCTGAGGCTGTAATCTCAGAAATCAGTGTACGAAATATTTCAACAGCTGCTTCAGGCGACTCAAATCATTCACCACGCATCTTCTTTTTAATGTTTGAGAACAAAAAGAAGTTATTAGGTAATAAATCAGGTGAATAGGGACAATGAATCATCAATTCGACATTTTTATTGGATAAAAAATCAATGGTTTGACGTGCTGTGTGACAGCTAGCATTGTTATGATGAAGGATAATGCGACGATTTCGGTTTGTTCTACACAATTCATTTATGATTTCTCGCAAACAAATTGTTCTATAATCAATATTTACAGTCCTTCGATCCTCTAAAGCCACGGTCACATGTCCGGTATAACTGAAGAAACAAGCAATCATTTGCTTGACAGCACTGCGTGAACGAACAACTTTTGTTGGTTTCGATTCATTTTGAAATACGCAAACAATGGATTGTTGTTTACTTTCGGGCTCATAGGAATAGATCCATGTTTCGTCCCCAGTAACGATGTTGTAGACCAAATTTCACCGACCTCGGTTGAATTTCTTGAGCATTTCTTTGCTCCATTTAACACGAGCCTGTTTTTGAGCTTTGATCAAATTGTGTGGGATCCAACGACTGCAAAGTGATCATGCAAAATCGTATGTATTGCTTTCGTGTCAATACCTAAGGATGCCTGAATCTCGCGGTATGTCATATGCCGGTCTCGCTCAATCATTTCACGCCCAGCATCAACATTAGTGGCAACAACAGAAGTGAATGGACGATCTTCATGGAATTTGTCACAAAGAAAGGTATGTCCACGCTGGAATTGGCAAACCAATTATAAACAGTCCTATTGGATGGTGCTTCATCCCCAAAAGCCAAAGTCGATCGATGCATTTCGGAGTTAGATTACATTTGTAATCGTAAAAAATCATTACCCGAAAATTTTCACGTGAAATTTCCATTTTCTCACAAAATAACTTCTTTTAAAATACTATGCAAACAAAACTAGTTGGCTCGGGTACTGAATTACGACTGAATTATAGGTTAAAAATGTCTAATTTTACGGATATGATAGTAGCAGAACGTTGGCGCCACTAGAAGTATTAGATTGCAGAAACTTTTCTAGCAGCCTATGTATATCGGCTAATCGTACTGTCGAGAATTCTTTTGCAGGTACGGACCTTCAGACGTGTTTGTCTCAGACCATAGAACGCAGTTCACCTCAGAAACCTTCGCCACCCTTTGCAGAGAAATGCAGATCTCTCACTTACTTTCCCTGGTCAACCATCCACAATCTAATGACCAGGCCGAAAGGTTAGTGGATATCATAAAGAGAGCAATCGCTAAAAACCCATCCAACTGGAAGCAGCGGCTGTACGATTTTCTTTACAGCTATCGTTACGCACCTTGCTCAAATGCCTTCGAGGATAAAACTCCAGCCGACCTTTTTTTTGGACGCCATATGAATTCTCTGTTTACCAAGTGGCTCCTGAAACATAACACTCCGAATCCGACTTCAGCGGAACCCTCAATTAAACATGTCGAAGCAATTTTCGAAGCATCACGGTGCTTAACCACGCCACTTAATGGCGGGAGATAGAGTAATAGTATTAACACATAAGGACAGAAGGGAAAAAGATATTATTATCAAGGCCACATCAAATACCAACTACTCAGTACGCCTCGATGATGGCAAGATCATCGACCGACATATTAATCACATCTGGAAAAGGGGATCCCTCACTTCTGTACCCTATGTGCCAAGATGACAGCTGGACATTCTATCAGCCCCATCCGCTACAAATCTCTCCCGAGACACTTTCCCGCGCGGAGACGGATCATTGACCAGAAGCCTCCTCCATAGCTCCAACTACAGCCGATCAAAGTCAGGAACTTCCACCAGATCATCCGACTCCGATCAGGCCCATTCGACACCGAATGGCCACCAGAAGACTTGTACTGGATCCGTCAGCCAAAAGTTACTCCCAATGGTGACTTTCTTGAGGAGGAAGATGTTGGGTACTTCGGCCGAGACACAGATGACGCTGCCGTCATGCTCTCTGCCCGCACCCGAGCGTGTGCATCTCGATACGTGGTATATTTATCTCAGTAAACGATTTATCATACAAAACCCGCGTTATATTGCATCGTGCATCCCATCGCCTTTTTCCTTGTCTTCATGTACGCAACAGTTACGTTGCCTTTATCCGCTCGTGTAAAAAGTATGTCTTTGTTATTATTATAACACTGTGTCGTTAACTTCAGCATCTTATTAATTTTTCTATCATGAATATTTAAATGTGAATCGTTATGGAGAAACTGATAGAATTCAGGAATGGCGATGTTTCTAATTTTCGATATCAATCTTAAGTTATTGGAACAGCTTTCAATATCCTTGATGAATTCCCTGATTGATTTTTTCCTAAGTGAATTTAAGTCTATCATGCTGTTCATTAAGTGAATTTAAAATTTGAGTGATCCTATTTTTAGATGCAATCATAAAGACATATCTAAAATAGAAACTCAAAATTGTAAAGAATTTAACACTCTCTCTTCCAAATCCTCCATGACAATGTCAGAAATGATAGGCATTTTTATTTTAGATATGTTGATGTCTTTATGTTGATAATGTTTTTATGATTGCACCTAAAGATAAGGTCACTCAAATTTTAAATTCATTTAATGAACAGCATGATAGACTTAAATTCGCTATTGAATATGAGGAAGACCATTGTCTGAATTTTTTGAATCTATCGGTCAACAATAAAGACAATACTATTATTTTAGATATTATTGATATCATAAAAAGACATTCTCAGACAGGTATTTATCTATTCGGATCATCCCACATGTCATAAGATAGGGATATGTAGTTTAATTGATAGAGCGATCTTATTGTCAAATTCTACAACAAAAAAATTCCATAACAAGAAAATAGAATTTATAATAGAGATTTCGAAAGGTAACGGTTATTCTGGAATGATTTTTCATTATATTAATAAAAGGATTAAAAGTTTGACTTGTAAAAAAATTCACGATGGTTAATAACAGTTTAGATTACGTTGACTCTGATGAGTTTTGAGAGAGATAATGGTTTTTCCATATATCTAGATCTATTTCTAATAAAATAAATTTACTAAGTCTATTAATAGAGTAATATATATATCCATAAACATGATTGGCTATAGGTGCGTAAACAAGCTTAATAAATTTATCAAAGTTCATAAAGACAAAAATCAACATGATAAAAATAATAATGTCATACATAAAGTAAATTGTAATAACTGCGATGCATCGTATGTTGGCCAAACGAAGACAATTGCAGATAAGAATTAAAGAACATCGCAATAATAAAATTAGACTAGTCCAAATATTCAATAATCTCGGAACATATCATGAAAAATAATCATAACTTTAATTGGGAAAAAATTAGTATTCTTGATTTTGAAAAGAATTATCGTAAAAGAAATATTTCTGAAATGATACATATTAAAGAAGAAAAAAAAACAGTTTAAGTTTAATGAAAGATGCTGAATTATTGGATAACTCTTATTTTAACATATTTGACGATATATAGAAACATGAATGGTTATAGGAACAAACTTGTTTTTACATTCGATTTTATTGATTTACTTTTATTTGACCTACACATCAGTTAATTTTCAAACGAGCAACAGTATTTTTAATGTATTTAATCGGATCTTTGATTGAGAATTTGATTACAATATATATTTTATATAAATTACCGTAAGTTATTATTTGATTCTGTACCTCTTTTTCACACTAATAATATATTATTTTAATAAATCTATTTGTTCTGCAGAATATCATAAAAAATTCATAACTAATGAATTCTCAAATTCGTTGATATAAGTCATTTGATATAAGTCTGTAACAAACTGGATTCTCGAGCTCAACCGAGGAATTTGGCAAAACTATTTTATCGATGAACATAATTAATCTACTGTTGACTGAAGTATCCAAATATTTCTATCTTATTGTCATCTGTCATGATACTTATTGATGTTTGAATTTTTTTATACATTGATACCTTACTGACGTGTTTTAAATTTTCATTGTATCCGTTATTCATTTAATTGGTTAATTTAAGAATGTATTTCTGCGTTTTAACGCTATGGAAGACTTTGTAAACCGTAACGTTTGTTGATTATATTATTAGGTGTTGGAATTAATTCGTAGCGTTTT